CGGGAAACCGATGGTTGTCCCTCTCCACTCAAGAAGAGAGACAAACGAGAACGGAGCTTTTTCAGCGAAAAGCTCTCACAGTGCACGCAGATTTCCCCCTCGAGGACATCGCGTGCATGCTCCTCGCCCAAACAAACAACGCATAGATTGTGTGAATCATCGGGTGTCAGAAACCGCTGACACGGATGGACACACTTTCTAAACGCTCCGCTAGTGCTCGCCATAGTAGGAAAAGAAAAGGCTCTTACTTTGCTTTTGGAATGCACGCTTCAAACAGAACGGTCAGTGAAGACGAAGAAAGTGATGATGTGTGCTATCGGCGCCTATTTTGTACTAGTTGCGACGGTAGTGACGTCATGGCTGTCGCCGGCCAAACAAGTTGGTGTTTTTTCAATGTAGGCTTCAGACACGGGTCACGACGAGGCGTTCCCCCATAGCGACCCCTAGAGGACGCAGTTCGAAGTTCCACGAAAGGGAACAGCATCTGATGTAATGGTTAAAAGCAGAAAATTAGTTCATAAATGTGTAAAATTACAATTAGAATTCTGTTTTAAGGAGAAATAACCATTGCAATCTTTAAATATTCACTTAGTTATTTCTTTGGTTTATCTCTTTCTATGTTTGTTTTTCAGTAGATCATTAGATGTGACGTTATGGTGTCTTAGAAGGTCATAATGCTAGTTCTGTCTGTTTAGTCATGGACTGACTGGGCAGTAAGACACCTGCCTTCAGTTTTGAACAGTTCACACTTGTTGAGATTGTTATTGTGAGGGTTTCTTCTTGTTAGCATGTTTCTGAAAGAAATGGGTGATGGGTAGTATAGTTAAGGACTGATGACCCAAAAATCTCAAGTTCATGGGGCGATCTGCAGGGTAGCCCAGAGCAAGGCACTTAAACTCAGGTTTTTCCAGGCTTGCTGATGCTATAGTAACTGTACTATAGGACATTACATATAAAAAGTGTAAGCTGAGAATAACTTAGAATATAGAACACTCATTGCATGCAGTGGATAAAAACAGAATGACATTTCAGGTCAAGGCTATGCATGTGTCACACAACTTTACCACATCACTGAATGGGAAATTAAAAAGTGTTTGGACAGAAATCATAAACCGTTCCAGCAATGTTGGACATTGGTACAAAGTTCTTAACAGCGCCCTCCATCATACTTTTTTATTTATTATTGTGGAAGTTTTGAGGTATCAGACAATAGATGATAAATTCCTCTGGTTCCACAAGAAAATTTATAAAAAAGCCTTCCATCTGCTGAAGCATCATGGAAGTCATTAAAATACAAGGTATGCATTGTAGCATCTGCGTAGGATCATGCATGAGCGTTGGACTGTTTATGGCTTAAGAGACCCCTTTTAGCCTTTTGACATTTGCATATTAATTACAGTTCTGGTCAGAGACTTTACGTTCGTATAGGGGTTTTAAATTGCCAGATGGTTCTTCGCCAGAGTGAGACGAGTCGCAGCGCGAACTCACTCTTTTGGATTGGATGGTTAAGCCACCTCCAGTACTGTATTTTAACAGCCTCTATTTGTCTAACATTTAGTCACTGTGAAATATTAAAGTAAACTGCAGTTTATAATATTAAAATTGTTCTCTAAAGACGAAGAAATCTCTTTGCAGTACATTTTTAATATTATCAAAATCGCTGGTTGGAACGAAGAAATCTTCCTGCATTGCGATAAAGATAGATTTGAGCGATGCTCCTCTAATCATCTTTTAAAGGCCTTATGTTTGATAGTATCGCTAGATTAAAGTCATTGCGAAGTTCCAATTTCATTTAACTAGACGATCTAACTCCCTTAGGTTTAACCGTTAGAGTAGCTATCTAATGTGTCACCTAATGCAGATTTGATCAGAAGAACACTGCGAGCCAGTAGACTGATTGAAATGTAAATGGGAGTTTTTAAAACCTTGATCAAGTGAAATTTGTATAACAACAGCGAAGAAACCCTGTTGTTCATATTTTTATTTGTGTACCTGGCAGCGAAGAAATCCTGCTACACACACATTGTGCAGTTAAGTGCACAGATGATAGAATCTGTTGGGATTGGACTCTGTGTTCTTGTGATAACTGCAGTAAAATTCCGTTAGAATGAGAATAGTCTCTAAACGTTCTCAGTTCAAGCACGATTGGAGTCAAGGCACAGTACCTTAAACTAACACTAGAGGGCAGGCTGTTTAAATATCTAACACTTCTTGAACTCCTTCTACCTTCCTGTTTTCAGCGCACCCACTCCCCCTTGTGGGCATTCTCTGCTAGGTCGACTTGGTACTCTAATTAGTTTTGATTCCAATTTCCCATCTGCTTCATTGGCCATTATCATTCTAGCCATTCTAGGTACCTGCCGTTTCATTTTTAATTTTATTAATTTATTTGTATTTCTTGTTTTGTATTAGTTTTCATATCCAGTACTACTTTTGTTTTACTTTATTATCTTTTATGACTTTTATAATTTTGTTTATTTTGTTTTATTTTGTCCCTTTTTTTATTTTTTATTTTAATTTTAAATTTTTTTAACCAGGGTTCTCTCTCCCTTTTTCTCTCTCACTTTACCACTCACTTA